GTCTTAAATTTTCTATTTACAAGGATATGAGATCAGTCTATATATATCATGTGTATGTGTAACTCAAATCCTTGAAAGAAGGATATGAAATATCAAAATGCCAAAGTTAAACTGTGTGTTTTAAATTTTCTATTTACAAGGATAGGAGATCAGTCTATATATCATGTGTATGTGTTACTCAAATCCTTGAAAGAAGGATACGAAATATCAAAATGCCAAAATTAAACTGTGTGTCAACAGAGGTTGTTACAGGTGGTGCCACCTATTCTCTCAAAATTTGTTTTAACTAGATTCAAAGTTTGTTGATACTTAAAAATCTGGCTGTTATGTAAAATTTCAATTTTTTGATACAATTTATTAGTTTTTAAAACGTATAAATCGGCACAAATGCAATTGATAAAAACAAAAATTTAAACATCAAAAGTATAAAGTTTATCACATTTTTTTTATATTACAAATATATGAAATAATAAAGTATGAATAGGCAGAAATAAAAGATCTTAATACAAATCTTTAAAGTAACATGCAACATAAGTTTTACATTTTATTACAATTCAAAGCTTAAAGGACTGGGCATCAATTGATCACCAATTTAGACAACGTATTTGATTCTTGTAGAAGTAGATTCTGCAGTCTGAATTATGGAAGATTTGGTTTTGCATTGATACTCTCTTTCAAGCAAAGCATTGAAAATGCGAGCATTAGTTTGAGAGAGTGTACAAACACTCAAACAAGTTTTAATTTTGTTCTTCCAGTTTCTTGGAGGTTTCCCTTTAAATCTTTTTGATATCTCCAAATTTCCAGATCGAAATTGACGTAGGTATAAGCGCTGTCGGCTAACTAACTAAACTGTTACTAATTAGAAGTTCAGCTGATTCTCCCACTCCTAGCCACACACAGTTTAGCATTGTCATTTTGATATTTTGTATCCTTCTTTCAAGGATTTGAGTTACACATACACATGATATATATAGACTGATCTCATATCCTTGTAAATAGAGAATTTAAGACACACAGTTTAACTTTGCCATTTTGATATTTTGTATCCTTCTTTCAAGGATATGAGTTACACATACACATGATATATAGACTGATCTCATATCCTTGTAAACAGAAAATTTAAGACACACAGTTTAACTTTGGCATTTTGATATTTCATATCCTTCTTTTAAGGATTCTAGTTACACATACACATAATATAAAGACTGATCTCATATCCTCGTAAATAGAAAATTTAATACACACAGTTTAACTTTTGCATTTTGATATTTCATATCCTTCTTTCAGGGATTTGAGTTACACATACAGATGATATATAGACTCATCTCATATCCTTGTAAATAGAAAATTTAAGACACACAGTTTAACTTTGGCATTTTAAAATTTCATATCCTACTTTCAAGGATTTGAGTTATACATACACATGATATATAGACTGAGCTGAAAACTTTAGAATGAAATATCCAGATATCCCGTCGAATAATTAATCTGGAGTTTAAATTCATGTGGAAAACAAGCAATATTTAATCTGGATATTAATTTAAGGAACTCTTTCTGTGGATATCCAACACAAAATTTTTCAGCTCTGATCTCATATCCTTGTAAATGGAAAATTTAAGACAAACAGTTTAACATTGGCATTTTGATATTTTGTATCCTTCTTTCGAGGATTTGAGTTACACATACCCATGATATATATAGACTGATCTCATATCCCTGTAAATAGAAAATTTAAGACACACAGTTTAACTTTGGCATTTTAAAATTTCATATCCTTCTTTCAAGGATTTGAGTTATACATACACATAATATATAGACTGATCTCATATCCTTGTAAATAGAAAATTTAAGACACACAGTTTAACTTTGGCATTTTGATATTTCATATCCTTCTTTCAAGGATTTGAGTTACACATACACATGATATATAGACTCATCTCATATCCTTGTAAATAGAAAATTTAAGACACACAGTTTAACTTTGGCATTTTGATATTTCATATCCTTCTTTCAAGGATTTGAGTTACACATACACATGATATATATAGACTGATCTCATATTCTTGTAAATAGAGAATTTAAGACACACAGTTTAACTTTGGCATTTTGATATTTTGTATCCTTCTTTCGAGGATTTGAGTTACACATACCCATGATATATATAGACTGATCTCATATCCTTGTAAATAGAAAATTTAAGACACACAGTTTAATTTTGGCATTTTGATATTTCTTATCCTTCTTTCAAGGATTTGAGTTACACATACACATGATATATATATACTGATCTCATATCCTTGTAAA